AGAAATCCCATATGGCTGGAGCACAGAGGACAATTAAAGAAAAAGTGGACAGGCATGAAGATGCAAAGAAAGGCAGGTGTTATAAATGTTAGGAGCCAAGTCTTTTTTTCCCCCCATACACTGTTTATAGCCTTTTAAAGTGTGAGTGACATAAGAGACAAATATTTATGACTGGAATCTAGTGCTGCTTTTTTCTTACAATGTCTCACGATGCATGTGGAACAACCTGAGTTATTAAGATAAAGATGACTTGTGGTCTGAGCATACATTCCTCTGCCCCTTTTGGCACTCCTCAGAAATACATGTTGCTTATTTATCACCTCCTCATATGTTTCTATAAAATCATATGTATGTGTGCCAGTTTTACTTAAAGGAAGAGCAATTACTTAACTCGGTTGATATGTTATGCTGATCAAATAGTAAAATAATTAGTACTGAACCATTTAATGAGATGTGTAATCTTTTTCTAATATATCCTTCCCTAACTTTTTTCCTAAGCACACTGTTAATCTACTCAATAATACATAGTATAATTGTTCGGTCTAATCTCTTTTTCCTTTCAATTACACACGATGTTGCAAAAAAGCTCTCCAAAGATACTTTGGAGCAAAATCTTCATCTCTTGAATACTGCAGTAGAGTTAAATACTCTCACCCCCGAAGTATCCCTTAGAGAACTTTCCTATATGTATATTTATAACGAATTGTCTTCTGATTATAGAATCACTTGATCAGTAGTATCGCAGTAACAGCTGATCGCTAAACACTGAAAATGATTCCATGTCCTGAGAAACAGATAGTTTTACCAATTTAGTGACAGGCTATTTTATCCAATGAAATATTTTGCAGTCTATACTTTCCCCAGTCTCAGACCAAAGAGGAGTTAAACTCTCTAGGAGAACTTGCTTTTTTTTTTTTTTTAATATATTTTATTTTGTTTTGCTTTGCTTTAGTTTTTCAAAACCTCTCTCTCTAGTCCCAGTCCCCCAAGTTGCAGTTGGTTATGATAGTAACCAGGTGAGAGAGCTGAGATGGTTCAGCGCAGATACAGCCCCACTATTCATCAGCAAGTCAATATGAAGACCTATATATATGGCACCCTCCTGCCAGCCGGAAGGCGAGGAAGGGAAAGTGTTAGGAGAAAAGCACAGCGTCTTCTGTTCAGTGTGGCTGGTGTGAGATCAGACTTAGCATCTGGGCTCAATTAGAGGATGAGGAAAGGCAAAATGTAATGCGGCGTCCCATCTAGATAAGATAAGCATGGCTCTGAGAGAGTAAGTATCAAAGCACCGGCGAAAAAAAGATAGCTCCAAGCAAGCATTCTGCTCATGGCGGTTCAGAACCATTATCTTCAAATACAAAAAGCAACATTATTATCTTTCGTGATTTACAATGGTTGAATTCAACGTGAGATAGGCCTAACTCTTAACAGTTTTGAAAAATACCGCCTTATGTTGTTGTTACTGTTGTGACTTATAGAGGAAAGTGCAGCAAAGTGACAAGCTTAGAAAGAGGACAATTTCAGACTGGAAATTGGGCTAATTACCACCTAGATGGAAAACAGAAAATCTGGAACCTACTATAACGTATGGAAATGATTCTTTTAACAATGTGTGTGTGTGTGTGTGTAAAGCCAGACTAAAAGTCACCTAATGAGTTGGCTTTATTTCTTCATGACCATTTTTGTTTGTAACGTAGCCATTCTAAAAGACCACAGACACACAGGCATTAAGTACTTGTTTATGTTTGTTTGGCCTTTCAAAGGAGATTGGTTGTTCCTGCAACATTGTTGATGGCGTGTTGATGCTCGCAGCCATGCCCTAGGCTTCTTCATAGGTGGTCCTTTAAAGCAAGAAACTTCTAACACGTGTTATTTAAAATGACCTTTGAAAATGAAATGTCTAATACAAAGATCTAGAAACAAAAACATATTATTTTATCTACATTCTACCTGACTGTTAAAATTTTGTTGAACCAAAGCACTTGGAGACCTTCCGCCAGAAGAATAGTCTTCCAATAACTAACTTACTATTTTTTGTTTGTTAATATTAAAATCCTGTGAGACTTGTAAAGAACTAACACAAAGATCTCTAAATCTGTAAATAACTTGCTAGTTATTTTTTCTAAAGCATCTGTGTTAGTCAGGTTTAGGAACAGTTGTGAGTGACAAAACCCAAAATAGTGACTTAAACAAAAATACGGTTTTATTTCTCTCTTACATGGAAGCCTGAAATAGACAGTCCAGGGCCATACTGGCATCACAATATCCAGGACACAGGCTCCTTGCACGGTTTTGTTCCACTGCATGGCATCCATTCCCAGGTTACTTGGTGGCCCGAGGTGTCCCCTCCAGTCACAGCATCATGTCTGTACTTCAGGCTGTAGGAAGAGCAGAGGGAAGGAGACGGCCTCCCTCTTTTCTTGTATAAATACTTCTCCAAGTTTGTACACACTACTTACACTTTTTTGTATGTTAAGTAGTGTTTATTTCTTACATTTTAATAAAAAGATGTATATTTAAGATGTGCCACATGATGATTTTATATATAGTGAAATGATTACTACAATCAAGATAATTATCCTATCTTCTTTTCACATTTTTTGTGTCTGTGATGAAAGAATCTAAAACCTGTTCTTGAGTAAATTTCTGATATTCAGCACAGGATTATTAACTACAGTCATCATTCTGTACATTAGACCTCTAGACAGTCATCTTGCATAACTGCAATTTTGTACCCTTTGATCGACATCTCCCTAACTCCCCCGCCTCCCTGCCCCTGGTAACCACTCTTCTACTCTCTGCTTCTATGTATTTGACTTTTTAAAATTCCACATATAAGTGGGATCATATCAATTTTTTTCTTCCTACCTGGCTTATTTCACTTAGTATAATATTCTCTGTTAGTGAGAACTGTATGCTTTGCCAAAAATTGTTTCTTTTATAATGGGAAAAAGATACAGTGGATATTGAGGGACCACGAGCAGTCAGTACTGAAAGTCTGTCTCTCTGTGACTCCAGTATCCAGGTGTGCCCATCTTCCTGCATACAGAGCATGTCCATTCCTATCAGAGGTCGATGACCACGACGCTCCATCATATGCTGAGTGTCCAGGATCTCTGGGTGATGGACAGTCCCCGTCAGCCTGAGTGTGACGTGTCACGGTCAGCTAACCTTGAGATGAAAACAAATGTTCTCCGCCACACAGAAGCCCAGTATACTGTGGTGGCATATAAACCAGGACACCGTAATTGCACTCCTATTCTAAGAAGGGAAGAAAGGGAAACCCACAACAGCCACTTATCCATAGCAATGATCAGATTGAGCCAGTTTGAAGAATCCAGACTCCCTCTCCTGGCAGGTTGTGCGTTCCTCAGACAGACCACTGGGCAGCTACTCATTCTTGTACTGGGAAGAACTTCCAAGTCCCTTGTGTTTGTCCACTTGGAAAGTCTTTCCTGGACACTAGGCTCTGTGACTACCCCTGAAGTTAGCATTGGAGGATGAACAGCCTGCGTGCCCCACTTTGCACCCATGCAGACTGGGGACGGAGAGCTCTCTTTAAAAGTTAACAGCTACAGTGGTAGATCAGTCTTGTGGTTTCTTTAACAAAAGTTTGCTCAAAAACCTAGTAGGCTTTCAGCCTAGTCAATTTTATTTGTGAGCAACCTCAGAAAAATATTTTTTTGGTAGAAAGAGTTTTAAATACTGATGGCTTCGATCTTTTACTTACTGTCATCTTTGTTCTCTCTCAGTCAAACAGCAGCTACATTAAGGAGATCTGAGATGGTGGTTTGGATGGAAAGACAATACCCTTGGTCTTGTCTGCCTGCTCAGAGCTCACAGACTTTCTACCACAGGGCATTTGTCTTTTTTTTCATGTTGTGGCTGACGCTTTGTAGCTACTGTTTTCCTTGGCAACAGAAGCAATTGGCTTTTTCAGTGCTGCAAGATATAAGTTACCAGACTCTCCATCAATTTAGATTGTACAGCCAGCCCCTCCTTTAGCAGAAGTGTATTCCCTCCCATCTCTGTAGACCAGCTAGCGCTGTGCTCAGTCCATGACTCTGAAAGTGGCACCATGCAGGCAGCACACAGTAGCCTTCTGCATTCTCCTGTTGCTGTCTGTTCCTTGAAGGTCACCACATTTGTGGGTCTAGTCTCAGAAGAATTTCATATTATATCTTGAACAAATAGTTATTCTTTGAAAGATGTCCAGCATACCCCCAGATGAACAGGAATCTGAAAATAATCAAGATTATACTGAACCAGAGATCATCAAAACAATTCATATATTTCAGGTTCAGTGAAAAATCAATTATCTTCACCAAATAAGGCACCATATATGCATAGCACATAGGTGCATCCCTTAATGTAGAATTAGAGTGTGTAAGGAAAATAACTTCCCAGGGCTTCTAAGGAACTCTTAAGTCCCTGCGGCCAAAATAGAGCAGTTATTTATTGATATCACCATTATTCAGAGAAATGTGCTGGTTCTTAGTGGGAAGATTGATCAGAAAGAATTCTTACCACATGGACCCTGTCCTTACAAACTAATGATTTATAAACTCTCACCAACTACTTTATCCCTCTTCCCAACTTCCCCTAATTTTAATTCCCCTCATTCCAGAGAGGAGAGGTAGTGACTGTTCTCTGGCATAACTAGTTCATGGTAGAACGTGGATAAAAATTTAGCTCTCGTTGCACTTTGCTTTTTGCAACTGTGCTAAAGAAGGCTGAAGAAATCTGTGTCGATAATGGTGACGTGTGTGAGATTTTACTCTACTTACAAGCTAATGTTAGCTTGCCACAGCCTCGTGGATGCCTGCAGAAAACACAAAACTCCCGGGTCAGAGATGTAAGACTTTATTATTTGCAGCAAAAACAAGAGCCAGAGAGGCAGCATGTTTACTTTCGCGCCCTGAGCCCCACATCCACACAGGGACAACATGGATGACCTACGTGGATGCTAGTACACGCCGTGGCTTTCTTTCGAAGAGAACGCTGAGCTTTGGGAACCCCGTGTTCCATAGCAGCCAGTAAGCAAGCCTGCTCGCAATGAGACATGACCTCCTCCTACAAGAAGTGGAAATAAAGAGCATTTACTCTTCACTCTTTACTGAGGCCATGCAGGCTTGCCAGTCCCAGCAAAGCATGTGGCAGTGGGAGCTCCCCACGAAGGAATATCTCCTAACGACCTGCAGAGACAGATAAAAATGGTGGGCGTGTCCTCGAAAGCAGCACTTCTCAAATTGCTTTATGCACACAGATATACTGAGGACCTTGGCAAAATGCAGACTGTTTGATTCTGGAGCAGAGGCTGAGGTCCTGAGTTTCTTCAAGTTCCCAAGAATGCTCATGCTGTGAGTCCAGGTATCATACGTCATTAAATAGCAAGCTCCAGGAGAAGTCTGGTTGAATCTGAAAATGGCTTACTTAGGTCACCTTAATCCAGATTCTGGATTCCCTTTCAAAGGAATTGACAGTCTTTGCAGTCCACTGCCTAGGATTTAGTAGACTGTGAGAGCTTGCTAAGCTGACACTGACTGAAAAATTACATGAGGCCACAATGTGTATTCTGAGTAGACCCCCAGATACTGATTGATTAACTTACAAAAAGAGATTGACTTAGATTATAATGTTCATATTGGCATCATCAGTTCATTCTGTTCCTAAAATGAAGCCACATCGTAATCAGAAGTTATTTTATTAATTCTTCATGAGAAACCACTTTCTGAGGACACAAAAATACTTGAAGTCTGGAAGGTCAGTCATTCTCTCCCTGTAGCCAGACCTGCGTAGGGCACCACATCACAATCAGCAAGTTGTCTGGTGAGCGTAGAATCAGAACAAGAGGAGATAAATAAATCAAACAGTGAATAGCATTAGTCTAAAATCAACATTGCTTCATTCATCTCACAAAAAAATTGGCAATTTTACCAGTGGGACAGAATATGCATAAAGTTCAGTAATTCCGGCTCCCTTTTCTCTGAGTGGTATGTACATCCCATCCATCTCCAAATCCTTCTCCCAGTCCCCAGTCTCAATTTACCTCTGTGACTTTGCTTTGTCCATGCTTACAGCTGACCAAATCTTAGATCTCTCTCCTTCCCTCCCCTTGGGAGTAATATATTCTTTGTTTAGATGTGTTAATATATTCAATCCAGTTTCTGTCAAGTTCTGTTTGCTGTATAATCATTTTGTTTTTAAAAGGTAATTTTTTTGCACATACTTCTTTTGAACTGTTGCTTTCATAATTTAACTCTCAGAGAACAAGCTAATTTCCCTCATTTTTAACTCTGCAGGTGAGGTGAAGGCATAGCCCATCCAAAAGACGTTTTGGTCTAAGTCCAGCCAATTATTTCATGGCTTATCTCTTCAACTGATTATTTTTTGGGGACCCTGTTAGAATGAAAAGAGGTAAAAATATTTTAAATGAGCTTTTCTTCTCCTTGAAAACTTTTACGAAAGTTGTCATTGAAGGCCACATGCGTGAATTATACTACCAATGTTCAGACCACATCAAATATTGTGCACTATTCCTGTAAAATTTCAAAAGAATATGACATGAATATATATATGTATGTAACATATATTTCCATTGGGGAAACTGACACCAAGTAACTAGTACATTTCCCTGAGAGTTAGTGGTAGAATCCAGACCAGAAGCCACATCACCTGATTCTCCCTAAAAACATTGCCTCAAGGACAGAATTAAACATTATTGCCTACTTTGTTAGGCATAATTTATACAATACTATTCAGAGTTCTAATTTAAGATAACATGGATTCATAGTATTATGCATCAGACTGAGAGACTTTAATCAGCATCTTCTTATGTGAGCACACATATGTTTTATGTATCTTTATATGTATTAGTTAGGGATTAAGTTCCATTGCAGATAAAAAGTGTCTGATAAACAGTGTCTTTACAAATCGGTGGTTTGGTTTTCCTTGTGTAACTGAAAGTCTAGAGATAAGTAAACTGGTCCATCCTCTTGGTACAACAGTGTTAACAGGGACCAAGCAATCTATCCCTTCAACCTCTCTGAGGGTGCTGTTGTCTCATTTGCACAGAAGGGCAGATAGCACTCCAACATCACAACCATGTTCCAAGTAAGAAGAAGGGAAGGGCATAGGATGGTGGAATCTGCTGTCTTTTGAGGAACTTTCCCAGAAGCTCTACCCAGTGATTTCTACTTGTATTTTGTTGTCTGAAGTATGTCGCGTAACCACTCCACTTGTAAAGAAGGCTAAAAAGTGTAGTTTGTTTTTCAGTTGGCCCCGCTGCTGCCCTAACAGAATCAGCTCTTAAGTGTCAAATCAGAAATCTAGCCTGAGATTCAAAAGAGGCTGCGTCTTTTCCTGGCTTAGCCATTTCCTTGATCTGTGACTTTGAGCAAATCACCCCATGTCTGTGAAACTCCTTCTCCATGTTCATGAAATGGAGTGAAATTAAATAAGTATATTTAGTTTTGAAAATTCCAATAAACTAAGTAGGTTCTTCTATATTGTAGCTGATCGTTTTACCCAGAAGTCCATCAGGGTAAAATAGTAAAAGTAAAAAATAAAATAGTAGGCTCAGACCTGGAGGTGGATGTTTTGATCCCTCCTGTAACTTTTACCCCTTCACCCAGGAGAGACAGTGAGGCATAGGGCAGAGACACCGAGACAGATAAAAACAGACTGACCTGGCAAGCTTTCTGGTTTACACAATGCATCTCACAACTCTGGATGTCATTGGCTGTTGAACAGATAGCTGCAGAGGCCTCGACTAAAGCTTTTTCTTTTTTCCAACCGAAACTTTTAACCTTTCAAATTACTGTCAGGAAGATGTGGGGCCTGAATATCCCAATGTCCAGGCTCCTTTCTCTCCACCCAGCAGCTCTGCCTGTCCATGTAATCATGATCTAGCTGGGTCTCACTTTCATAGAGACAGTCCTTTATTTCTAGATAGAGCTCTCTTTACAGTCCTCTTAGGTGATATACAAAGATAAACTCGTATGTTATATCTTATGCATCTGACTAGTTCAACAAAATTCCTAATTTCAATAGCAAACTGCTTCTGTTCTTAACAAGCAAATAACTTATTTAACAAACACACAGGGTTCCTAAACTGGAAGCAGTGTCACCACGTGACTTCATGTGTGGGAGGGGGAGGCTTCCAGCAAATGAAGATTCTCCCCAAAACCCTTACCTGCTACAAGAACTCAGCCTCTGGAAGTTTCCTTTGGCCCTAGGCTCCTCCAGGGGCACCTTCTTTGCCAGTCATCCAGGAACTGAAAATTGCTGTTAATATGATATTATCAAGCCAATCTAAGTGGTCATCCTTTTTCAAGTGTTCACTGATTACTCCTCTTGGGGTCCCTTTGGGGATGTAACAAACCAGAAGCAAGGCGCCGTGTCTATTCATTTATTAGGGTCTAGCACAGTGATACGTGCAGTCAGGCATTATTAATTGATGCTGTTTCCATAGCAATGACTCTCACCTAGAGTAAACTAATACACTTACAGGTTTGCAAAATACACTTGAACACATAGAGGTGTATTTAAATGAACATGTATGTCTGCTATTTAAAGCCTCTGGACCCAGAGTGTACATGTCTGGCCCCTGTTTTGCAGCAGGAGTTTGCGGTGGTGTATGAAACGCCCGGGGATTAGCAGCAGCAGATGCTTTGTTTTTCTCAATAGTGAGAAATGAATTACCGTGCAGGGTGCTGGCGCTGAACGTATCATCTCCTGTTCAGAGTCCTGAAAATAAGTGTGTGCTATGAGCTTGTGCTCACTTCAGACAAAAAAGCGCTTTGCAACAGCAGTGATGATGGCCCGGTGTTGGTCTGAACAGAGCTTTGCTTTGCAGTTGTTTACTTGTCCTCTTCGTTAGGGGCAATTAGAATTTCCCAGAATCTCAACAGCCTGCTCTCTGCCTTTGTTTAGACTTGCTCTATGTCACAAACGCAATGGGCACTTTGAGGTGTTGTGATTAAGAGTAAGGAAGGGAGATCAGAGAGGTCGCAAATGTTTGGATGGCTTGTTAGAGTTTTAGACTCTAAAGAACAACTTGCAACAGATAAAGCCTAATTAAACCCAGAAATCATCAGTATTTTAATGTAGAGACAAAGACTGATGCACAGCGTTAATGTGAAAAATGAAAGCTCTAAAATATGGCCTGAATGTGCTGTGAATTTACAACACAAAGAGTTGTCTGTCACCTCTGCCCCATTCCAAGCTTAGACTGGATATCGTATGAAAATTAGCTGTAAGGTAGGCAAGGCATGTTAGTCTGTGCCAATTTTACACCCTTGACTTTTGAAAAATATATGTTCTAAAAAGTGTACTTAGAAGATAGCAGCTTTGTGTATAACATCTCACATTTGAGATTCTAAAATGTTTTTATTGTTTTTGCTTCTGTCAGTCTTACGTGTTTCAGCCAATTACTGTGTTTGACCTGGATTGTGACAAAATCAATTTGGTCAGTTGTACAGAAAACAATTGTTTATTAAAAGATGATAAATCCATGACGCTGACTCAGACTGTGATTAGCAATGGATGTATTTGTGCTCCAAGGAATTATGAGACTAGTCCTGTGTTGATTGGATAATGTGATGGCGTCGTCCCTAAATATGCTTCGTGCAGTAACTAAACACATGGTGGCTCTTCCATCTTGACTTTCAGAAAACTTCAGCAAAGTCTGTCCCAAAATGTATTCATGACTAAGAAAGAAGTAATCGTACAATGCTATTTTTGGCTAAAATGTGTCCCACTTCCTAATATGAATTTTCACATGGTATAATAAGCTCTTTTGCCCATTAATGTACTAGTTAGTTTAAATCAAGGTCCAAAATGAAAACTTGCTTCTTGACACACCATCAGTTTAGTTTGCCAGTTAGCTAACACACATAAAATCAAAGACAGACATCAGTAAACTGTCTTTTTCTATAAATGTAGCACAAATAAGCAGAAACCATGCAAGCACGGCCACCAACACTACATTTACAAAAGCTCTGGACCAAGGGCGACAAGGGAAATGCTTTATTAACTCTAGTCTTTCAATTTGGTTAAAGCTTATGAACATTTTAGCTGGTTTTTCTCTGGGAACTGTAATGATTTGTTCTATAAAATGTAATCGTTATTCCTTTACGCATTAAAAAGAATGAGATGGCTAGAATCATATGGTAATATTTCAGAACATTTTTCTTTAAGAAGTAATCATAATAATAAGTACCCAGCATAAACAAAGTTTATAAGTCCTATTAAGGAAAAATTTTACTGTGCAGCATGAAGTAATTTGACCGCTGGAAGAATGCATTAACAAGTTAAAAAAGAAGTGTTTATGATACAAAGGTTTCATTTGGTATCTTTTACCTGAACGGTACATGTCACTACTAGGTAGCAGTTATATGTCACTTCCCAATTTATAAATGTAGGTAATTTTATGACTTGTAAAGCCATACAGATCCAGTGTATTACTCAGGTTAATGTAGCAGAGCTAGTAAAAAAAAAAAAGGTATATTCATTCAGACCCTCAAGCAGGCAAGCATATCTAGTCCTAGGAGGGAGGACCAATACGAAGTTCTGTGAGAGTGTCAGCGGCACTAGGGTACAAATGTAGCTATGTGCCACTTGTCAAAGAAAAGACCATGTACTAAAAAATCCAAGCCTATACTAATAATAAATTACAAACAGCTTCTTGTATTAAAAGACATAAAAGCGACTAAACTCTTCTCTCCTAGAATCCCTTTAGAACATGGCTGTCCTTGGAAAACTCCTCTGTGGGTCAACAGGTTATGAAAAAACAAAGTAGATGGCATTGTCCAAATTACACGAAGTGCTTAAAAACACTTAATCTGAATTATCTTGTGGAGGAATTTCTTTTTTTCCCCCAGTGTTTCAGAAAACTGAGGCGTGAAAAAAGTAAGCAGTCCAAAGTCACAGACAGAATTAGTGGCAGTTGCAAAGCCAGAACCTTGCTTTGTAAAAGTTGGTACTTGTTGCACTGTGACCACCACCATTGGAAAGGAAATAGCCAGTGCTTGAGCAAGAGGGAGAAGATGGGATGACCGCACTGGGGACGTGTCTGAACTGCTTTGAGGGTCACCTGAAACACCAGTTCAAGTCACCAGTCTGTAGCTCAACTGGGGAGAGAATCCTTCAGTGACTTCACAGGGACTGATGCCTTTGGTCACCTTTGGTCGAGGTGACACCCTGCAGCTCTCTCCCTGGGCAACCCGAATAAAGTCCAAGCACCAGATATTTATTATCTCAACTCTACACTCGGTGAGGGCAGGAACCACGTGTAACCCCAATAAAACTGGGTTATCTCGTTTTAAAATTAAATAAGTAAACGTGACTTTAAAAACCTTGCAACGGTAATCCAGACCATTACTGAAAGTTTCCTTAAGAATGTGGGGAAAAAGTTGCCAAATTATTCCCACAGCAATAATAATACATCTCTTTGTTTCTCTCTGAAATGCACTAAACCTCTCGTTATCTGCTCAAATACAGGTTTTTTTCTGTCTTCCTTCAAGCTCAGGTTGTGCTGGCTCATGCTCTTTCTCCCTCCTTCCCGTCTTTTCAGACCCTCCTTTCACCATCAGATCATTCGTATTTCTTTCTTATGTGAAGTGATTTATTTATCTAAAATTCTAAAATTTATACAGTACCCCTAACAAGAGATAACAAAGGACCCTTGCCCCCAAGAAACACTATATATAAATATATATTTCTTACATTTATATATGTGCACACACATACATATACACAGGTACACATATGACATATATTTAATTCTTATAATTTTGTATTCTACATGTACACATATGTAGACATAGACGCATATGTAGACAGACATATACAGACGTCACACATATAATATATATACATACCATATATAAATATATGTATA